TTATATATATATTTAGAAAACAGAAATTTAAACAGTTACAAGTTGATGTAACAGAATCTAGATAAATATGTATATATGCTTGAAAAAGATAGAAATAACTTTTTTAGTATATTTGTTTTTTTCTATCATATATTTTTTTTTACTAAAGATTTATAAACCTAAGCACTTTTAATTGAAATCATTGGTATATTATTGTATTCTATATTATTAATATTAAGAATTGAATTAATAATCGAAATTATCAATTAAATTTTTCCATTTTCTTTCGATTTCATAATTTTTCAAATTTTTTTTCAACAAAAATTGTGAAATCTTTCTCTTCGAAATCGATTAGAATTCTCTTGAGTTTTCACATGGCTTCTAAACGTACCCTTCATTTTTTTTCGCCCACTTCTTAATCGGAGTTAGAGAGTAGCTACTTAATAAGTATTAATATTCGAAGAATTACTCTGTAATCTAGTATCTAGCGCGTACTACCTATTTTTCGCTTAGGTGACAAACGAATGTGATTAATATTAACAATAAGCAAATGAAACGTCTAAAATTTTCCGGCTTCAAGTATCTCGTGGCAATACATCGATACCACCCTGCTGACACGCCATACAAGCATCGGCAGAAGAGCAAACTGTACAAATAATAATGCACAGTATGCTGTAGATCATTCATCCGTTGAGCACATGTGACAAAAAAATCTTTTGAGGAAGAAAACGAATTTCGAGATACATATGATAAATAGGATGGTACGTTTACGTTATCCAACTTATCATTGCGGCACAGCGTTGGGAAATGGGGAGGGCGAAATATATAGAATAAGATATCGGCATGTGATACGCCAGAATACTGGACTCACCGAATAGCTATACAGAAGTGGAGTATAGCATGAAGAAGAACGCTGATTATGAACTACGATAACAATTTGTGAACGCGACGGATGCAAACGAGCTTGATCCTCGCCTCGACGAATTCCTGAGCGTCGAAAAGCGTCGAGAAGCGTCGAAATGGCTGCCGTTGCCGTGTGATCAGTCGAGTGAACCCCGTAGATCATTGACTATAGAATCACTTAAGGGGCGACAGGAGTGACAACTGACAAGCTAACTCATTTACACCTCATTTATGGTGCAGCTACACGTTTGCACTCTATCAGACTATCATATATATAATTATCCCGTAAAAGAAATATTTTGCCATGAAACTCGTTTTGGCTTATATTTTACGAAGTTACGGAACCTATTAAAGAATCAAATTTTGAAATTTCATTCTTAAAAGCATTTAATAAATAAAATGGTGTGCTTCTTATTTACAGTGCAGAATCGTAGTCACAGATTTATCAGAGGGTCCATTCTGTATCTTCAAAGAAAGTGAAAATTACAAAAGTGAGCAAATTTACTAGTTGACCAATAAAATAATCAGTATTCTAGTAAATTCGTCCACTTTTGTAATTTTCACCTCATTTCAAGATACAGAATAGATCCCCTGGGAATTGATTATGTATCTTGAAAAGAGGTAAAAATTACATAAGTTAACAAATTTATTAGAATATTCATAATTTAATTAGTCAATATCTAGTAAATTTGCTCACTTTTGTAATTTTCACTTTCTTTGAAGATACAGAATCGACTCTCTGATAAATCTGTGATTACAATTCTGTCATTCTAATCATTGCTCACTTTTGTCATTTTCATCTCATTTTAAAATATACGATCGAGCTCCAGAGAAGCGCGATCGATTTATATCAATATCGCAAAAGTATTAAAAAGTACTAGAAAAAGTATTAAAAATAGTATTTGCAAGACGGACTATGAAATCCATTATGAAATCACCCATTAAGCAGCCATTTTTAATACATAAAAATCAGTTTATGATTGGCTGCTAAGTCACGTCATTACAATAACCAATCAGAACATTTAACATCAGTCGCTCTTCTCTGGCCTAGTTTCCACCGAGGATTTAAATTGGATCAGAATGTAAGAACCAACTACAGTCGAGCATTCCTCTGTCGTTCGATTGTAACAGGAAAATATTCGACTATAGTTGGTTGGTTCTTACATTCTGATCCGGTTTAAACCCTCGGTGGAAACTAGGCCTCTGAGAAATCTAGGGAGGTGTGATCGAGTTGCCACTACGAATGTTTCGAAGTATTTGACTAACCAAGGAAGAAAGAATTTTAATTGACCAATCAAAAAATGCTTTGAAGCAATCGTAACGGCAACTTGACCGCATCCTAGGACTCTAGTTTGCGGTACTTTATAAGTCTAGTGACTTTAGGCGATTTCTACGATAATAGAAAAAAGGCATGGCCTTTCTCAGATTTCTGTCTGCTAGTATGAAATTATCACATAATATTTGTTGATGGTATAAGGTTAAGACAAAAATGTTTGTTTTGACGGAATTAAAAGATACTGTTAGGATACCACCAAGTAGCTTTAAATCTAAATTAAACGACGTCATTAATGACGAATTAAATAGAAAACTCGCTAATAAAGTAAGTTAATTTTATTAATTAAGATAAATTTACTGTTATTGAAGAACTATCTTATGTATTTTAGTTGTTTACCTACCAGAAAGTTATTGACGCGCAATCTGAAATAAATTTATTTAATTGTATTGATTCGAAACATCTAATTTTGACCAAAATGATGGCTTTCTCTATCATATATTATGTATTTTTATTATAGGTGTACAAGGATGTAGGCCTTTGCATCACATTACATGATATTACAAAGATCGAAGAGTCATATATTTTTCCAGGAGATGGAGCTTCCCATACAAAAGTGACATTTAGATTTATTGTATTTCGTCCATGGATGGAAGAAATATTAATAGGAAGAATTCGTAGTTGTAGTCCTGAGGGAGTACATGGTAACAATCTGTTCATATAATTTAATAATGAAACTTCCAACTTTGATCAATCCTAAGGTGCTCTCTACTATAGTATGTTGTTATATAAGTCAATTTTTTATTATGTATGTTACGAATATTTATTCTTTGTATTTAATATATAGATTTCTAAAACAGGTTATATTATATTAATTAGTATGATAGAGAACGTCAATAATTGGTCAAAGTTAGATGTTATGAATACAATATATTTTTAATTTTTAAATTTAATTATCTCAGATGTGACTGTGTCAAAACATTCGAACATTAATTGCAATTGATCTGAGACCATCTGAGATATTAATAATATAAGTATAAATAGATGATATTTATAAATTAATATTAATTACTAAAAATTACTGAATATTGGTTTTCGTTAATTTTTTATTCAAATTTATAGAAAAATAACAAAAATGACACAAATTGTTTATTTTCTTTTCATAGAACTCTAAGAATTTTTTTCAGAATTTTTTATCAATTTTTTAATACTGCATTTTTTTATTGGCAATTCTTTTAACCAATATAAAAAAATGCGCGATACTAATAAATTCTTAAAAAAAGTTCTCACAATATTCTATGAGAAGAAAATAAACAATTTTTGTCACATGTTTTTCTGTAAAGTTGATAGTACTTGAGTAAAAAATTAATGAGAATCAATATTCGGCAATTTTTAATAATTAATATCTTGTTAACTATTGCAAAAGTTGCAAAATGATTAAGGACTTTTCGACTCAGTTTAATCTACTGTATCAGCACACAAAATATTTGGTGGTCATTGACAACTGTGGGCTGAGACACTCTGTATATGTATGTGTGTGTATATGTGCATGTGAACGTGTGTATATATAGAATATGAGAATCAAATCTGGGACCAATTGTACAAATCAACTGTCCTGACATAAAGTAATAAATCATTTCGTCAAATGGGTCAATATACATTTGATATTAATATACATTTTATTTTGTTACAGTTACATTAGGATTTTTTGAAGATATAGTCATACCACCTCATAAGTTACAGCATCCGTCACGTTTTGACCAAATGGAACAAGCATGGGTTTGGATATACAAGACTGAAGATGGAAAAACACACGATCTATTTATGGATGCAGGTTTTATATGTGCATGCAAGATCATTATATATTGTTATAAGAAAATATATTAAAGTTGAAACATTAAATTTTAGGAGAAGTTATACGATTTAGGGTAGTAAAAGAAATTTTTACGGAAGCACCTTTACCATCAGTGCTTAATGCATCTCAAGATATAAGTGAAAAGGCAGAAACCAATAATGCTGCGCCATATATTTTACATGTATGTTTACAAATTTTTAATGTTCTATTATTGATGTATGTCGCTTTTAATCTCAACAATGTGTTAATAGAATAATATTTTATAGGGATCGATTGATGAACCTGGTCTGGGTTTACTTACCTGGTGGCAAAATGCATAATTTATTACGATTATTTAGTCCTAAGTAAACTAGAATGATTAAAGTAAAAACAATTTTGGTCAATAAATTTTTATTTCACAGCACATTCCATTGTATTGTGTCATCATTAAACGTTGCATCTGTGAGCAGTATTTCACAGTGTGATTCAGTTTTTCAATATAGCTTTGCTTGTATAGATATATTTACGTTCAGTTTTGATTGATAACAGAATTATATAGGTATAGTTTGTACAATATATACAAAATTATAAATTATGTATTATGTGCCAAACATGTGACAACACATAAAAATGATCTTTGCATGTCGTTATTAGATTTTTTTTGGAGAGTAACTTAATTTAACAGAATATATTCCAGAAAGCTATTGCTGCAATGACTATAATCCATAATCATTACATCACATAAAACAGCATTTTAACAATTTATTTTAAAGATAAATTTTTTTATAATGTAATATAATAATATTAAATTGTATAAAATAAATTGTAAAATTATTGTAAATAAATGGTAAAATCAATGTTTCTTAAATTACACTTACAACTTTTCTCCAACAAATATCTAGCTCAATTATATTGCATTAATATTATTTAATCGAAAACAAAGAATGTTAGCGAAAAGTCTTAAATTTAAAAAATACAGATTGATATATGTGTATATTGCATTGTGTAATGTGTTAAAAAATGTTTTTGTATTTTGAATAGTAAATACAACAATAATAAATTAAGAAAAACATTCTTTGGCATTCTATTGCTGTTGTCCTAATGCGCAGCTCGGACATGTGGTGCTTATTTAAATTGATTAATACGATGCACTTATTTAGTCATTAATAGAGCTTATCTATGTGATATATATCAATAAAAGATGTAATACGACACATACTGACGTAACACACAAATTATTAAAATTATTTTGCGAAATCCGTGAAATATATCTAATTATATGTTACGTTAATATATACTTAGTTGGAAACCACAAAGAATACAGCTAGTAAAGTCTTAAAATTTAGAAAACACCGATTGCATAGGGATATATGAAGATAATATAAGGATGACGATGTTTATCACGTTATCGCGAGTGCTACAATTGTGAATCGCATGATTTTCTGTCTATAATTCATGTATCAAAACAAATAACACGAATCATGTATTCATGAATAGATTATCGGGTAATACGACTTGGAATGTTATTTTCTGTGTAATTAATATCTGCTAATTACTTTCTTTCAAGTAACATGTGAAGTGTACTGTAGCTATAATCGCAAAGAATGGAACAATGCACACGATAGACGTATTTGGCGGAGACAATAATCGAACAACAACAATATGTAATTACTTAAATAAATAATGTCTTAAATTCATTAACCAAATGATTTTTTCGCGGCTATTGCATCCGTCAAATGCCCTTGATAATGTAGTTTAAATGTATGCGAACCAATTAGAATTATGTACAATATAAATTTATCACAGTTCTAACTGTTGAGTCTTTTGCTATATATGTTTATTTGGATTTTCTATATTACTAGGAGGCAAAAAGAAGGAATCACTGATCTCTCATCTCTGATGCATTATCAATCTTTTCTAATATCTTTTCTACAATACTGAATTCATTTTTGTACATGATCATTACATGCTTGAGTCTTCTTTCTGTTTTATCTAATCGATATAGATACAATCACAATCTTACATGCCCATGTAGAACATGATTACGTGGCAGAATGAAAAAATATGAAACGAACGGAAGTGCATGGGACGTTAATGTATTAAAAATGTCTACGTATTATATATTGAGGGCTAGTATTCTCTTAGACCATTACGAGGAAAACGTAATTCTTTCATTATCTGGACGTCAGTTACTTCTTATGCTGCTATCAGTTACACTGCTCCCATCTTTCTTTCAAAATATTGCTTTCTGCGAAGTTTTTCTATTAAGATCTGTTTCTCGCAGTTTAATTCTTTCTGTTTGACACATACGTTTGCATATCATAAAGAATTTTATTCGCAAATATTTTTATTAAATATTTATTCGATGATTAGGCAACGTGGTAAATGTTCACGTAAATAGTCAAACAGTTCTCGGGACGTTCCTGGACAATTAGTTAGTTCTAACTCGTGTAAGTGTCGAAGCTGTATCAGACTAGATAAACCACTACTTGTGAGCAATGGGCAACCTAAAGTGAAATTGAATGTTATTTAATATATACATTTTTGTCAAAATATTAAATTTACATAATTGTTTTAACTTTTCTTGCGCGAGTGAAATGTAGCAGAATTATATGTATGTAACACATAAATTAATAAAAATAATATACCTATTATTATATATATTTGTGTTGAAACGACATATTTTTCTAATTATTTTAACTAATATTATAATTGATATTACAATTGATTTCTATATAGCAAGATTTCTTCTCTCTTCTTGAAGAATGTACATTTAAAAAATTTTTATAGAAATTTTCGAAGAAGTTTTTGTTTTTCTAATGTGGATGTAGAAAATAAATTTCATAGTTTATTGTGTGTGTACAAAGTTTACAATATTTCATCACACAAGAAAAGTCGTTTAAGGGGATCCGAAATACGTCTGTTTTACCGTTTATAAACGCTTAATTTTTCTATATTTTTTTCCTCGTTTACAGATTCGAACATTTTTTTTCGGGATTAAAGTAGACGCATTAATACGTGTCTGTGTGTGTGTTTGTAAGATAGAGTTTATATCGAGAACGATAAAAAATTTGAAACAGATCTTTACCATTATTCTTATTGCAATATGAAGCTCTATAATTGTTACGTCGTGACAACATTTGTTTGATATAAAAACTGTGTAACCTGTACTTATGAAATAGTAGTCCAGTGTCCACACTGTCCACAGATTAGTAGTTTGCACGTGAAGTTTTTAGAATTGGACTTAGAGGTCCAATCAAAACGTTATCATTTTACGTGTAATTTACATATTCGTATGCGTGAGATATTGATATAATAATACACAGTGATGTACTACTATATCAATGGGAGCTTTCCAACAAGACGCAATAACAGAGTAACATAATGAATCATTACATCTTTGTTGTTCGTCAATGTTAAACAAAGATGAAATGATCATTGTGTTACACAGTGTCGCTTGTTGGAAAGTCTCCAATGATATGTAAATCGTCTGTGTGTAAGTCCTATTTAATTGGTAAAAAATAAATACAAAAGGACATATAATTTTAATTTTATTTCTGGACTGATTTTATATCTTCATATTTAATTTAACGTTTATTTATTGAAGAATTCAATTTTACATAATTTATGACTCTGTGGATTTTACTTTTTGACTACGGCTATATATTATTTGTTATCACACTGACTAATGGAATGTTGACGAGTATCATATCATCGAATTATATTAATATATTTGACATATTGGTAAGTGTTTTACCGAGGTGACGTATTTGCTTGCTTTTTATTTGATAATAATTAAGAAAATTTATAATTTTATTAGAACATCATGAAATTCTTTTCAATTGGCCTTCCAACCTTTTGACGAGCAATTTCCTCTCTGCAACGTTCAACTGTTCTCATGACGTTTATAATGTATTTCTTTTCTATTAACACTGTTCGATTATGGTAATATTTTTACGTTTATCAAATATTTGAAGAGAGGGTCTAATTTAAAGGCCGAAACATGTTATATCATAACTTAATTATAATTAATCAGAATATTGTATATTATTGTATAATATTTCGGTTTTTTAACATATAATATAATTTTGTAATTGACTCTTATATGCTCTTTTATTATATTTATTTTTTATTAATGTCAAGTCTTTTTTTATTATTATTAATTTTAATTGGTAAAATAGAGAGACGTCTTTAGGATTCCCTTAAAATTATTTATTAATTAGTTAAGTTGATTAAAGTGATCTTACCTGCCACAGACAACACTTGTAGAGATCTCATAACGCACAAATGTTGAAGTCCGAAATCTCTAAGTTGTGAACACCATCTTAGAAACAAAGCACTCAATGAAACCATCGTGGAGATGTAACCAACGCCGATATCAGTAACGTGTACACACCTGTATAGTAATATGCAATATATATATATATGATATATATATGATGCAAAAGAAATATAAATGAATGCGTTTATGAAACAATATTCGAAACACAATATGTTAGAAACATGAAATAATAAATAAGACGCGTACGTATGTATTACCACGATAGATAATCTCTTGGTTGAAAGTAATTGAAAAAATTCATTTATATTTCAATAATTTTGTCTTACCTATCTAATGTGAGTTCTTCTAAGTTATTCAAATCACAGGCGATATATTCTAAGGCTGCATCTGTAATCCTTGAGCACCAGCTGAGATCTAAGGAACGAAGTCTTGGCAAGTTTTCCGCGATTAATTCAACGCCGTCATCTGTTACTTTACTGCATCCAGAAAGTGACAGTACGGTCAGATTAGGTAAGGAATGTACTGAAAC